CCTTGTTGTCTCGGATTCTCCAGCATCTGCAGTTCCTACTATCTTTGAGAGATTATTGGTGGTGGTTTAACTGGAAGGTCACCATGTCTTGGCAAAGGGAGAAGTTGAGAAGGCAGACCATCCATGGTAACCTCAACCAGTGCATTAATTGAACCTTCAGTGTTGGTGTCACTCTACCTTGCATGTTTATCCTCATGGTGCCTGATTTACACCTAGAAATTTGCAATTGGGAAGCAAATAACAGTCTTTCATTGCTTGAGTAGTCTTGAAAAACGACATATACTTTCAAAGCTTTTCATTTGCACTTTTCAGGACAGAACACAAGAAATTAGCCATGATTGAATAGTGGAGCAGACTAATTCTACTCCTATATCTTATAGTCTTATGCCAATGTGAAGGGGAACAACATTTATAATATATATAAGAGGAGAGAGAGGTGACATCCAACATTAATGTTGCTTTCTCTTTATATTGGACTTTCTTGTGAAATGTCCTGATGAATGCAAGATGGAAAGCTTCAACAAAATGTTTTATTTTCCTAGCAGGACTCAAGTTCTGTTCTATCAACTGACCATTTGTCAACTCTTCTGTTACTTAATTAGATGATTTTTGACATCTTTTTATTTCTTATCACTAATATTTCATAACTGGTAAAGAGAAATATTCAGAGGAGGTTTGCTAGATTGATACCTGAGGAAAAACTAGGCTTGTTTCCACTGGAGCTTAGAAGAGTGAGATCATCTGCTTTTCCCACAAGTAATCAGGCAGGTATCCTTCCCATGATAGGTGTCAGTGTCAGTTGGTCAGCAGGTTAGGACATTGCCAGATTGAAAACAAAGAAAATGCATAAGATCCTGAATGGTTTTGCAAGTGTGGATGTGGAAAGAACGTTTCCTTTTGCATGTCAAGACAGTACAAGAGGGCACTGCTTTAAAATTCACGGTCCCCCTTTTATGACGAAGATAAGGGGGAAATTTTTCTTTCAGATGTGTGACTTTGGATTCTCTGCCTCAAGGTGGTGGGAGCTAAGTTCTTGAACATTTTTAAGGCAGAGCAAGAGAAATTCTTGGTCGTTAGGGAATTAGAGGTTACTGGGAGCAGATGGAAATGTGGAATTCAAAACAATGAGTGGCAGAGCAGACTCAAGGGGCTGAATGGTCTTGAACATAGAACAGTACAGCCCTTCGGCCCATGATGTTGTGCTGAACTTTTACCCTAAACCTAAGGTATATCTAACCTCCACCCCTACCTTATACTATCGTCCATATGCCTATCGAATAGCCACTTAAATGCCCCTAATGAGGCCAACTCGACTGCCCTTTCCAGCAATGCATTCCACGCCCCTACCACTCTCTGAGTAAACAACCTACCTCTGATGTCTCCCCTATATCTACCTCCACTCACTTTAAAACTGTGCCCTCTCGTAATAGCTACCTCCACCCTAGGAAAAAGTCTCTGGCTGTCCACTCTATCTATACCTCTGATCATTTTGTACACCTCTATCAAGTCAAAAGTCTACTTCTGCTCCTATTTCTTATGTTCATGCGTATATCTCACTCGGTATGAGCGGTGAACCGGGCTTGGAGATCTAAAAGGCTGATTAATGAAAGCTCCCGGTTTTCTGCTTGGGAAACTGGGCACACTCATCTCTGCACTTGATTCCTCGATGTTAGCTCCTGTCAAAGAGGAGTCTTGTAATGAAAACAGAAACTACTGGAAAAGCTCAGCAGGTCTGGCAGCATCTGTGGAGAGAAAGCAGGGTTAATGCTTTAGGTTGAGTGACCCTTCCTTAGAACATTGTGCCTCCAAACGTGTGTTGTGGTTTTTTTTTTATACTGTTGATTTTGTCCAAAAGGCCTTTTATTGACTGTCCAGAAGGACAAATATTGGAATCAGTGATCCATAAAAGAAGATAATTAACCATCACCAAAAGTTTGAAAAGTTCGATGGTGATATCTGCTGCTGCAGCAATTGAAAGGAATTTACTGTCATCATTTCATTGATGTCATCTTTGCTGTGTATGTGTCATACAATAACAATTGGATTTCTGGGAAAGCTCTGGCAGCAGGAGCGATAAAAAGATCATTAGAGCCTATTATTATCAGTTATTGATTTTGTATGTTTTGTTAAATGCTTGCTTTCTTTCCAAAATGCAGTACTTAAAGAAAGTTTCCTCTGATTGCGGAAGGAGCATGTTGAGTTGTCAGCTTGAAACTAAGATTGTATTCATTGTTGACCATTCAAAAATATATTTGGCTTTAGGACAACAAGTGCTGTTGGGAAATTTGAAGGCCACAGCAGAGGGATTTGCAGCCTACTGCTATTCTTTCAAAATTGCTGTATCTGAATTTTTCAATGATAAATCATAGACAAAATGTTAATGTTTGTTGCTTCTCCCATTTGAGTGTGAAGAGGAAAGTCAGTTGATATTTTGCCAAACATGACGTCCAAGAAATCGCGTGAGAAAATGTGTTATCCCAGATTCACTTTGTTCAGTTTTCAAACCTTGAAAGTGCCTCTAAACAATGCCTTACATTTTTAAAATTTCAGTTATAAAACAAAAGTGCCTTGGGTTGTTCACATAGCTGAAACCAGTGGTGGAATCAATCCCTGACATCGACCTAGGTGCCAGAAGTAACTGAACATTGTCACATTGAGAAATGAGAATAGTGGCTGGTGTTAGTGTGGGAGAGAGGAGATTTGCGGTTTGACTGTATATTTGCTGGACTGCATGCAGGGATTTCTCAGGAACATATAGTGGAAAGTGTTTCTGATTTCAACAGGTCCGGGCACCTACAACATCACGAACCACACTCTGGCTCGAGAAAGTGAAAGGAAAGCCAGTTTTGAGAACCCATTAAGAGGAGGATTTGGATCATCAGCTCCCCGTTTGAAATCTGCCAACTCAAAACAAAGCATGCCAGGTCCAGCTGATTATAAGGTATTGTTCCTCAACGAATGACATCTTGAAACATTCAGTCCTTATCATTTGTCTGGAAATAGTTGATTTTTTTCAGAACATGTCTTTCATGCATTAAAATACTCCATAGTGTTCAGATTAAATTAATGAATAATTCTGTTTTTAAACATGGGGTGAACTTTGTGTTCTTTGTTATTTATATATTGCCAAACCTTTAAGTTTTCAATCATCTCTTCAAGAGGAGTTTTCTTTGAGGGAGCTCTGTGGAACCCTGCCTCTGAGTGCTACAGCTATGTCTGTGGAGCTAACACTGAGAAACTCAGCAGGTCTGGCAGCATCAGTGGAGAGAGAAACAGTTAATGCTTCCAGTCTAGTATGACTCTTCTTCAGAACCAAAGACTTATTGATCTGCGGATTCTCTGTTTGTTTCAGATTTCCGGCTTCCACATGTTGGCGATGCATTGTTTCCACCCTTTCCCAGGGTTATCCTTTCATAGCATCCCTACAGGATGGAAGCTGACCATTCAGCCCATCAAGTTGACACCACCCCACCTGAAGAGCATCCCACTCAGACCCCCCACTACCCAATAATGCTGTATTTCCTATGGCTAATCAACCTAACCTGCACATTCCTGGGCACTATGGGTAATTTAGCACAGCCATTCCACCTAACTTACACATCTTTGGACCTTTGGGTTCTTTGAGGAACCCACAGCACCAGGAGGAAACCCACACAGACACGGGGAGAATGTGCAAACACAGACAGTTGCCCGAGGGTGAAATTGAACCAAGTCCTTGGTGCCGTGAGGCAGCAATGCTAACCACTGAGCCACCATGCCGCCAATGGATAGTTCATGGATCTTATACTCTCATTGTTCTCTCAGGCATTGGGTGTCAGCACTTGCACGTTTAGAAACTGCACTGTCTCACTAAGCTGTTATTCCTTGCATCCCTAGTTTGTTCTTAACTTAGAGTAAGGCTTCTCTCAATCTCTTTATTTACACTAAGGCACACATTATATAGAACACAGCTCCTGAGTGCAACGTTTCTCTTCTGCCCCCTCACTGATTCTCAAACATGTTTCTGTGCTTTGCTGAAGTTAGGGTAACATCATCATTTATACTGTTAACATATTCAGTTCCTGTTAGTTTGCAGAGTCGTGCCTTATTGTCCACAATTCTTGACCAGCAGCATGTTTCCAATTTGGCAATAGTTTGACTTTAAGTTCATTCCATCTGCATTGTTCTACATTCAACCTACCTTCTTGATTTCCCATTGAAATATAAATGTGCTGACTGGGTGGCTTGCTTCTGGGTTTCATAGAATCAGAGATCATAGATCATAGATGTGGGTTTGTGAGAGTATCTTGTTAGCAGAAAGAAGTTTGGAGAGAAGGCATGGGGCTTTTTAGTTTATTCATTCATGTGGTTTGAGTGTCGCTGGCTGGGTCAGCATTTCCCGAACCGCCCTTGAACTGAGTGTCTCCCTCAGCCATCTCAGAAGACAGTTAAGACTCAACCACATTGCTGTGGGCCTGGAGTCACATGTCGGTCAGACTGGGTAAGGATGGCAGATTTCCTTCCCTTAAGAACATTAGTGAACCAGAAGGGTTTTTATCAATAATTGGTAATGGTTATATTGTCACTATTAGATTAGTTTTTAAATTCCAGATTTTATTGAATTCCCATAACAATACTCTGGGACTTTGAGTTACCAATCCGGTGACATTACTATGACACCACCACCTCCCATTCTGGGCAGGAGGGGAGCAGGAAATTGGTCACTTTTTAATTGATGCCTGTATGATAAAAATACATCAGTATTTATGTATTGAGAAAATGGGTTGAGAAACACCTTGAGAAAATGTACCTCAAAACATGCAGTTACTGGAAGACATTTGCAGACCTCAAGGAATGCCTAATGCAGGGATCTTTTCTGAAAAAGGGATCACAAGAGAGAGATGGAATGGGCACTTATGTATCACCTTTTACTACCTCAAGATACTGAAATGCTTTATAACCAATGAAGTACCTTTTGTGGTGCAGGACATTTGAGCACAGCAAGATCCCACAAACAACAATGCGATCAGGGCCAGGTACTCTCTTTTTTTAAAAATGATGTTGATTTCTATTCATGGGATGAAATGTCCTTTGTGACTCTTCAAAAGCCCTTGGGGCAGTAGGTTTTTGATCTTCTTGCCTGTATTACAGCCTCTTCAGTTCTCCCCCGAACATCTTGGTCATGTATGTTTTCGAACCTTGAGCAGAGTCAGGTGCCATGCATTTATAAACATGTTATCAGCATATAGTGTCTCACTAAAGCAATTGCTGAAATTGCTGAATGCCCTTTTGAGTTTCTCTGTCATTAGTTTACCCCTCTACCCTCACCTCTTTTCCCATTTACCCCTCTCCACCATCTCCTACTCTATTTACTTATGGGAGGTGCCTCTCTCTCTCTGTTCTTTCTTCACAAAATTATCTAAATTACATTTGTAGATGATTCCATCCTCCACTTTTAACTGTTCTTTAAATCATCAATGTTGGAGTAATTTTGACTTTAGGGTAATCATGTCAGACAGTAATATAGGAGTTGTGTTCCTTCACAAAGCCCACTTTCATAAACACACTGCCACACTCTGGCACGGTTTGGAGGGAGCATTCCTGCAGCATGTGAGTGATCCCAGAGATGGAGAATTGGCAGGGAAACATTTCAGTGAATTATAATTCTGCCTTCCTACCTGAGATGGTCTGAATGAGCCTGAAATACACAGAGGAACAGAATGTTCTTATACCTCTCAGAGTGGAACCAACTCGTTCCCAGTTTAGTCTTATTTGTCTGTCAGCTGCAAGGATCCTTTGGGAATTAAATTTTGAAAGTTTCAGTTTATTTATAAGAAAATTAGAAGTATGGGTAGCCTACTCAGTCATTCAATAGGATCATTGCTGAACCTTTACATCGACTGAATTTACCCATCTGATCCCCCAAGTCCGTTGATACTTCAGTGCCTAAATACTTTTTGGTCTCAGTCTTGAGTGCACTCATCGATTGGGCACATACAGCTCTCTGGGGTAAAGAATGCCAAAGATTCACCACCCTCTGAGTGAGGACATTTTTCCTCAGTCGGAAATGGCTGACCTCTTGTTCCTGAGACGATGACCTCCTGACTTTGCTCTCAGGGGAAACATTAACTTCTACTTTAGTCATTAATAATTACATCTTCACAACATGTAATTGTACACCAGACCAAGAAGCTATAAAGGGATGGCTGACTGTGAGAAGTGGAGGGGTTCCCATTGTTGAGGTGGCTTTGCCCTTCCTGAGGTAGAGCCATCGAATAGGTGCAGCATAGCGGGTGTCCATTGTCAAGCCTGTGCTGGCTTGCTGAAAGAACTATCCGACTAACTCCATTTCCTTCAAGGCCTAAAATATTGTTTTGGTCTCCTTACCTGAGGAAGAATGTTCTGGTGATGGAGGGAGTGCAGTAGAGGTTTACCAGACAGATTCATGGGTTGGCAGGACTGACATGAGAAGAGAGACTGGATCAGTCAGGCCTATATTCGCTGAAGTTTAGAAGAATGAGGGATATCTCATAGAAACTCATTAAGTTCTAACAGGACTGGAAAGGGTAAACACGGGAGTCCAGAGCCAGGGGTCACAATCTGAGGATGCAAGGTAGGCCATTTAGGACTGAAATGAGGAGAAGTTTCTTCATCCAGAGAGTGGGGAGCCTGTGGAATTCTCTGCTACAGAAAGTGACTGAGGCCAAACTTCAAATGTATTCAAGGAGTTAGATATAGTTCTTAGGGTTAAAGGGATCAAAGGGTTTGGGGGAAAAATGGGAACAGGGGACTGAGTTCGATGATCAGCTGTAATTGTATTGAATGATGAAGCAGGCTCGAAGAGCTGAATGGCCTACTCCTGCTCCTATGTTCTATATTTCTCCCTCTTTTCCCATTGCTTTGCATTTCGTTTTGTCTATATATGCTTATCACATTCCTCTTTGAGAGGAAATGGTTAATTCTGCCTCCCCCCACACTCTCAGACAGTACAATCCAGACCCTAACCACTGCCTCCCCCCACACTCTCAGACAGTACATTCCAG